ACGATGCTCGGTTACGACGTGGGGGGTAGAGGGTGGGGGGGGGGGCGGTGGGGGGTTGTGGGGAGGGGGTAGGGGGGGTGGTGGGGAGGGGGTGGGGGGGTTTTGGTGAGGGGTGGGGGGTGGTGGGGAGGGGGTTAGTGGGTGGGGGGCGGTGGTGAGGGGTAGTGGGGAGGGGGTGGGGGAGTGGTGGGGGGCGGTGGTGAGGGGTGGTGGGGGGTGGTGGGGAGAGGGTGGGGGGGAGGGGGTGGGGGGGTAGTTCTCGATCGCTGCCCCTTGTCGTCGAAACTCTCCACGGAGCTCTTGGCGGACCGTGCGCGTGCGTCACGGACCGTGCACGTGCGTCTCGCACGTGCGTCCGTGCGTACGCGTGGCCATGGCAAGGGGATACATGTGAGATGGGCGACGTTTCGGGGAGCGGTCCTCCTTCACAACACCACACGCCATGGAAGGGGCAAGACTAAACTCAACTTTTTTGTGTGCTTAGTCTGTCGTCCTTCCACCCCGCGCCTTAGCACGGTAGGATTAGCACGGTAGGATAATAACGGCGGTGCGAAGGAAGTTCAATATACGTACGTACATGCAGGAGCGCCTGAAATGGAAGGGCCCCAACACAGTTACTTCCGTACTATGAAGAGGAAGGGCTATTGCCTGAAACGTCGCTCCGTTCAACATGTTTTATATTTTCCTCCCTTTTTATTTGCCACGCATGGTGTTGTTCGTGACGAACGTGGTGAGTTGTTGTTCGTAACTGTTCTTGTGCGCCACTGCCAACACAGCAGCAGCAGTATCTATCACCAGGTAATGTGGCGCTACAGGATGGCGCCAGCAAAATCAAGTTGCTGATTGTTTATTTACATACTGGCTTCTTTGCCCGTCCTAGGACGGAAGCTGTAATATTTACAAAAAAATTGAGCAGAGTATAATTGTATCTTGCGTAAATGTAATGGCAGTGAATCTTGCACGCAAGTACGTCATCAAACACTTAACTGCATTTCATTGTAGCAATGTATATAACTGACCTTCAATTTGTTCAAATTCACTGCTCTGATACTTTATTCTCTTCTGCTTTCGGTCGCTGGGGTTGAAATAAATTGGAATTCGATACAATATCTGGAAATTCACAGAGAAATGTCTATTTTACAATAATGTAGCAGCATAAATTAGACTTACCTTTTGTCTCAAGTGCTGAAGAAATTAATAAAGACACCAAATCCACTTTGTTGCGGCGTAGAATTATTTATTAGATTCACTTTCAATAAAGAAACGTCAAACTTAAATCGAATTTGCGAGAAAAAAAAAAGATTATTTCCGCTCGACCTTCTGCATGAGTGTCAAAATCCACCCGCTTCACTCAGTGCGTTCTATGAAGTAGCTTACACAAATCTGTCAACCCCTAATCAGCTGCCCTACCTTGTTACAGACCAACTCAGACGTTATTGGTCACCCCGTGCCCTTAGAAATCTCAGCGTTCATCCGACAAAGTCCCGTATTGAAACGGCCGTACGCCATGTGGGTTGACAGCTATGGTTACAAAACGATGACGCAGAATGGAATGATGTAGTTGACGGGGGCGTGCGCTACAAGGTATCGATGAATGAGTGACAGCGACAGGAGAGCCTTTTAACTGAACGCAAATGCCTCGCGACACCCTTACGGCCATGACATGATGCGATCGGTAATCCGCTGAACCCCAGGGGGTCACCCGTGCCTCTGTAGCCGAACCCCCAACGATGCTGTTCACGTTGGTGGTATCAGAGGGGAGGTTTTTGTAAGTGTCACACTTAGGACAAGTTGCGTAGCTAAATTAAAGTTAAAACGGATAAAAAGCTGTTGCCTAATCGCCCCCCACTCCCTCAATTCCCCACTCACTCTCCACCTTCACAAACACACATTGACAAGCTTGGTGAAGTATGATCCATCATCCCACATAACTGACGAAGCATGGAAACTTCTTTGTCGAGCAGTAACTTAACGTAAGGCCTTTTTAATATTTTATTGTAATAAATGTAATTTTTTTGAAGTCGATAAAAAATGTAATCAAAAATAATTGACGACGACCTTTATTCAACATAACCCATTATAATATTGGTCGCGAAAGCCTTCGTGTTTAAATAACCCACGCGTATGAACGCACGCATCGTGGACAATGCACCACCACACTCACAGTTACTCGATCGGCAAGGTCACGTGACGCGGTGGGGTAGAGCGTGGGCACTCCCCATCTCTCGCAAGACGCGGCTGGCCAGCGTGGGAGAGGAGGCCAAATATCCACCACGGGGAGCGTTCGAGACCTCCCTCCCGGGCAGAGGGGGGGGGGGGGCTTTTCCGCCGGTGGTGGCTTGAGGACGGTAATTGCAGTGCTGCACCTTTATCTCTCCCCCCCCCCCCCCCCCACTATGGATGTGAAGTTTAATTGAATCCGGCGGCGTTTCCTGAGCGTCGAGCGTTCCCCTCGTTTAACTCGCCGCGTCTCCACGCTCGACGCGCGTTGCGTTGCGACGCTCCGTTCCCACGCACGCCCCTCCACTCGCGACGACCGGGCGCTCTTCCCCCACCCCCCCGGCACTCTGTGGCATCCCCCCGCTCCCCCCCCCCCCCGGTCCCCCCCGGCCCCCCCCCCCCCCCGGTCACCCCCGATCCCCCCCACCACCTCTACCCCACGTCCTAGTGGGGGGCGGCGGGCGGAGATGGTGGAGCCCGTTACGAATGCCAAAGTTTTTGCTCCGTGTTAAGTTCAGAACCGGAGTATTTATTGACACGAGAGGAATCTGATGAGCTATGAGGCTCTTGATTCACAGATGTCCAGCAAGGGGCGGGTCAGAAAGTTGCCTATGTACGTTGAACTTCTTTCGCACCATACACACCAACCGTGCTAATCAGAATAAACAATACAGAAACGCGATAGCGGTGCAAAGTTTAGTCAAGGAAAGCAAATCACACAAAAAAATGAAAAGTCTAATTTTATTTATTTATTTAATCATCATCGTCAGCCGTCATCAGTCCACTGCTGGATGAAGGCCTCCCCGCCGCCTCCCCCACTGCGTGAAGCTGTTTCCATCGCTCGCGATGCCGCGGTGATGTCAAAGCACCTCCGGGCTCTTTCGCACGAGCCGATGTCCGCTCGCCGCTCCGTCACCCCGGTTTGACGTGGCCCCCCCGCGATCTTTCACCGCGAGTCCGTCAATGCAAGTCTCTCGACCACTGCTCACATCGTCGCCCCCTCACCGTATTTTGAGTTTGAATGAAGATCTGTTCAAATGTGGCATCGTCTCGGTTCGATCGGAGTGCGCCCCACACTTGGTGTCGTGCCGAACGGTATACTCGTGAGGCTGTCAGAGTCATTTCCGCAATTTGTAGACAGCGGTGCACGACCTAACATTTGAACGTATTGGCGGTGCAAATAAATAAATATCCAAATCCTCACGATTCGCAACCCCGGTCAGAAAGCCTTGCGGGGGTGGTGGTGGTGGTGGTGGTGCGTCAAAATCGGTTCTCGTGATGTCGAAGCGGTCGGAACACGAAAGTTTACGAGCGGCCGAACACGAAGCTTCACGGTCTGTTGCCGTACAGCGGCACCCAGCCCTGATGACGATTGTCTGGCTCCGTGTTCCAAAGGCGGCAAGATTTGACTCCTCGTGGTGCTCTAGACTTGGCCGAACAGTTCCTCGAATCATTACCGGTGGCATCAAAATATTTCGACTCGTGGTGTCACCACCGCCACGTTCGAATGGGGTATGTGGCTGCCGAATCTAAGTTCAACTTCTGATGCAGAGTCTGCAGCTCATTCAACGGCAACAGCAACATCATCGAGACTGTTTTATGAGGACTGGTGTGTGTGTTGTTATGCTGCACCGGTGTGACGCCAAAACGTCCGTTTGGACTAATCTTACTGTTGATGACAGACTTGGAGGCCGAATTGGGGATGATTTGGTTAGTTTTCACGCTGGTTTCTGCCTATACAGGCTGGGTGGTCTTGTCTCTTTTCAAAATACCTCACGGCTAAGAATGTCGTGCAGAAGAAATTGATCTCATGGCTTCCTTATTCGCCGTGATATGAGCATAGAGCAGCAGTTATGTTACAAAGGCGAATTATATTTGGAGTGTTTGTTTTAAAAAATTGGTAATCACTCACGTGGCACATTTCAGTTTTTTTGTCTGAAAACTGGACTTAATTACGCATTTATTTCCCACATTTTCGCAGAAATCCCCGACGCTGAGGAGACCTCCGCAGGAAGGCCGTACATCACAAGAAACGTATCGCGGTATTGTGACGCACCGTTGGACAACTTCTGAACGTACGTGTGCGTCAAAGCAACGTTGCCATCGCCACCGCGGCCGGGAATAAATTAGCTTTGGCGCGATCGTCTCAAAAGGGCTCGTGCGGCAAACGAAACTTTTGAACCCAGTTTTGTTCGAATTGTAAAACTATGCACCCGGCCGCGTACGCTGCCCCAAGTCTCACGCGACCCAACTTCTGTTCCCCCCCCTCCCGCGTTCTGCCTCCAGGTTCGGCCGTGCTGCGTCGACTCCGCGTCCAGCATGGAGCGGGGGCGCAGGGGCCGGTCGGCGGGGGGGGGGGGGAGCAGCGGTTTCCAAACGGCCGCCAAAAGTGAGTGGCCTGGCAGTGGGAGCCGAGTTGACCCGGTTCTTCTCGCGCTGCCATTGTTGACTACGGCGGCGGCGGTGCCCCGCCTCCAATCTGTGGCTAAACACGACAACCGCCACCACCACCACCACCCACCACTACCACCACCACCCCCCTCCACTACCCCTTCCCCTGTCCACTAACCCCCCCACCCCCCCCCCCTTGCGCACCACCCGCAACCACCTCTCCCCCCCACTTCTCCTCCATCCCCCGCCCCCATCCTCCCCCCCCTCCAACAGAACCGCACTCAAACAAACGGGCAGATAAGCGCTGGCCGGGCCGTCCGCTCCAGCCAATCGCGGGAGAGGGCGCCTATAAGAAGAAAAGCCAACACGGAGGGGGGGAAGAGGGGGGCCGTGGCTGAGCCGCTGGGCAAATTTACCTGTTCCGCCACTGAACCATGTCCATGAGCCCGAAGCATTCTACTCCCTTCTCGGTGACAGACATCCTCAGCCCGATGGAGGAGAGCTACAGGAAGGTGGCCATGGAGGTGCCGCTCCACTCGGGCATGCACGGGGCGGGCGGCGTCGGCGGCGCGGGCTACCGCGCGGCGTCGACGGGGCCGGTGATCGGCAACATCAGCGGCGGCGGCGGCGTGCTGGTGGGCCAGTCGATGCACGTGGGACACGCGCAGGCCCAGCAGCAGCAGCAGCAGCAGCAGCAGGGCGCTCCGACGTCCGCGGCGACGGCGGCGGCGGCGGCGGCCTACCACATGCCGCAGCTGCCGCACCACCACCACCACCACCACCACGCGGCCCACGCGGCCCACATGAACGGCGCCGCGTACTGCAACGGCGCGCTGGGCGGAGTGCACGCCGCCATGGGGGAGCTGCCGCCGTACCAGGACGGCATGCGGGGCGCCGGCGCCGGAGGAGGGTGGTACGGAGCCAACGCCGATCCCAGATATTCCACCAGTGAGTACGAGTGTAAGTGAGAAGTCCTGGCGGCGGCGGCGGCGGCGGTGGTGGTGGTCGTGGCTGTGGTGGTGGTGTTGGCTGTGGTGGTGGTGGCTGTGGTGGTGTTGGTGGTGGTGTTGGCTGTGGTGGTGTTGGTGGTGGTGGGAGATTTGGAGAGATGGCACTCACTGACGAGTTTTGTTTTTCTGAAATATTGACGTCTCGAGTTTTGTTTTGGCGAGCGTGCGCGTTTGCGTGAGTTTAATGGGTTTTAAATTGAAGGGGGAGCGGTGGTGTAGCGGTTAGCGCGCTGCGCTACGAACCCGGCGACCCGAGTTCCATTCCCGCTCACGGCCAACACCAGTAATGATTTATCTGAACCGGTGTTGGGCCTCCCCTAGGTCGACTCAAATGAGTACCTGGTGCGGTGTGTAAACATCGCCACTGAGGAGACAAAGGCGGCCGGGCGTGTGTTGTCCGCCCACCCCCTCGTGTGCCGTGCCGGCCTTCATAGGTTGCTCGCTAACAGCACTTGCCCCAAAAGTCTGTTGAGGCTACACGGGGGATCTCTGCCTTATCTTGTCCTGTGCGCGCACGTGCGCGTGTGTGTTTTGTGGGTTTATATTGAAAAGGTAGAGATGCGATTCTGCACTCAGCGTCGTTTTTCGTGTGAAACTTTTGGAAAGTTTCATGATTTCAGACGCACGTATATTAACAAGCTCATTGGCAGACCTCATCCATTAACTGCGCGTACGCAAGATACTACGATTCGCCCGTTTAAAAAAAGACCAAACACAGCCTCACATGTTCACGTCGCAAAACGTCGTTGTGGCGACGACACGGACGTTCCACCCGGTGCGCTATCGCAACCAACTACGTCGAACGTACGTCCGTCCGTACGCGGGCGGGCGGGTGCGTTGAAATTCTCTCACACCTCCGGTTAGCCACGGGCTCCGGGTGAAGACTGACACCCATGCGCAATTCCAAGCCCGTTTCCGAAAGGGCGCCGTCCTCTCCCCACCGAACGCTCCGGTAAAAGACGTTTTTCGCTCCGATTCCTTCCGCACGCGTCGCGCCCTAACCAGTCGCCTCCCGGGCCCTTCTCCTCCCCCGCGCCCCCCCCCCGACCCCCCCGACGGTATCTCCCCGCCGCCTGCCCTCCGCAGTCTCGCGTTTCATGAGCACGTCGTCCGGCATGAACATGGGAGGGATGAACGCGTACGGAGGCATGGGCGGCGACGCTGGCAAGGTCCTGGCTCCGCTCGTCTCGACGCCGCGGCGCAAGCGTCGGGTGCTCTTCTCGCAGGCGCAGGTCTACGAGCTGGAGCGCCGCTTCAAGCAGCAGAAGTACCTGTCGGCGCCCGAGCGCGAGCACCTGGCCAGCATGATCCACCTCACCCCGACGCAGGTCAAGATCTGGTTCCAGAACCACCGCTACAAGATGAAGCGCCAGGCCAAGGACAAGGTGTCGCAGCAGCTGCAGCAGGACGGCGCCGGCGGTGGCGGCGGGCAGCAGCAGTCGCCGCGCCGCGTCGCCGTGCCGGTGCTCGTCAAGGACGGCAAGCCGTGCCCCGGCGGAACCGGCGTCTCCGCGCAGGGCACGTCCAACCACCACCAGCAGCAGCAGCAGCAGGGCCATCACCACAACCACAGCAACCACCACCAGCAGCACCAGCAGCAGCAAGGGGCGGGAGGCGTCATATCGGGCGGCGGCACGGCCTCGTCGCTCATCCAGCAGACGGAGCAGGGCGTGGAGCTGGTGCAGGTGGACGCGCCGCTCAGCCCCTCCGACCTCCACACGGCCGTGGCGTCGATGGCCTCCATGACGTCGCCGGTGGCCGAGTACAACATGGTGATGTCGGCGGGCTCCACTCTCCTATACGGCAGGACGTGGTGAGCCGGCGGGGTGGGCCCTCGGCCTCGCCGTCGCACCGGCGCTGGCACCGGCGGTGGCACCGGCGACGGACACTGGTGACGGACACCGTCGCGGGCGCCGGCGGCGGCGGCGGCGGCAGCGGCGGCAGCAGCAGCAGCAGGTTTGACCGACTGTTGTGGGGAAAAATAAAAAAACGTGCAACTTGTTCCAAGTTGGCGCCGTTTATTTTGTAGTAGCTTGTGCCGGACCATGGCGGCGCCTGAGGAGGAGGAGGAGGATTACCGTTGGGGAAGACGTCGACGACGACTCGGGAGCGTCGCGGAACTTTGGAGGCGGCGAATTAACGCTCCTCCTTATCATCGTCGTCGTCGTCGTCGAACAGATTCCCCGGGAAGAGAATCCGAAAGACAATCGCCCGGATTAAAGTTGTGAGCGCGGGCTCCGCTGTGCCATACTGAACATACTCACTTGTAGATTGACAACCGCTCCCAACCAACTCGTGTTGCTGTTCGTTATACATATATATACACACGTATACATATATATATTTTTTGTCACTCGATAAATTAAAATGCACTAGCTTAAGCGTGAAGGCACGTGCAAGTGACCAGCCCGCCCGTGTTACGGTCTGCGACGCTTGGTTATGTATATTTGGTTTCTGTCGACGTCTGCAAACGATCTCTGCGTGTGATCCAAACGGCTGATATTCTCTGTTACGTGCGTGAGCTCTCGTTCTCGAGTGTAGATGTTTAAATAATGGGGGGGGGGTGTCCCCTGCTGTGTTTTATCCACTTTATTATTATTATTTGAATCTCGATGTCTTTTTTTTTTGTTTAAGTTAAATAGAAACCTGTGCATAGGATTTTCTGATGAGGGGGGTGAAAAAAAAAGTTTAAATAAATTATCAACGCAACGATTGACAATTTTTCAAACGTCTTGTTTAATTTGTCGTTATTCGTCGCCGCGTAGCGGCTAATTCGCCCCCACGAGTTTTAGCCGCGGCTTCGACGGGTTTAAGTTCTACACAGGAACAAAAGAAACACATTAGGGACGTGCGTTGAACTTCTTTTGCACCGCACGTCGTAGCCAACCGTGCTAATCGGGGGTGCGCGGTAAGGACGACAAACTTATCCCGCAAATAATAGCATACTACGACGTTTCGATTGCAACATAAGCAATCATCATCAGGTATAAAAGAAATAGCAACAAAAATCTAACCAGAAAACTATAGACAGACATATAAGCAGATATCACAAAGATACACAGATAGAGAAGTTGCCGATACGTGTTCTCTCTCTGTGTATCTTTGTGATATCTGTCTGCTTATATGTCTGTCTATAGTTTTCTGGTTAGATTTTTGTTGCTATTTCTTTAATACCTGATGATGATTGCTTGTGTTGCAATCGAAACGTCGTAGTATGCTATTATTTAATGTATTATTTTATCTTTATACGTGACTTTACCGAAAGAACCAAAGAGTAATCCCTGCAGTCACGAAAGCTCCAAATTAAGATTTATCCCGCAAAGTTCTAAAGACATTTCTTTTCAATCTGGATTTTAAAAATTTATATCGAGCAGAAAGATAAAGTTATAATATTTGGAGCCCTTTCCTGTAAGACAGCGCGAAGACGTGGATCTGATTTAAATCATCGCCCTGGTGATGACGGTATCTTGGCCATCGGCAATACCCATCCGTTCGATGAAGACCTCCCCAAATCTGCCACCGTCTCTCTCGCCGAGATCCTGGAATTCTGATTTAAACTGAACGTCAAATTTCACGATCTGTGCAAACGAAAGTAAAATTGTCCCATCGTTGAGAATACAAATACCCCTCCTCCAGCCAAGCCACAGTGTTCATGCAACGCAAAACATGGACCATTTCGTAACCCCGTAGAGATACACAGAGACCCGTAGAGGCTCATAAACATACAGAGACCCATATAGATACATAGAGACCCATAGAGACCCGTAGAGACTCATATAGACTCATAGAGACACATAGAGACCCATAGAGGCTCATATAGACTCATAGAGATTCATAGAGACTCATAGAGATACAGAGACCTATAGAGGCTCATAGAGATACATAGGGATAGATTACATACCAGTCACAGTAGTTAGATTGTGGCCATCTAAAACAAGCAGTGGACTACTAATTAGTAAACCCACTGCGGTCTGAGTTCCTTCAACAGAGGAGGAGGAACAGCAAAACGACACGAACTCTCTCTCTGCTCAAGTCTTCTCGACGTGACCAGCAGCAGCAGCAGCAAGCACTCGACATTGGCATCTAGTCGCTCGGAATAGAATCATCGGCTTTGACAGGAAGAGAGTGAAGAATTCACACAAGCATTGGCATTCACAACAGAGCCGGCTCCGGTCCCCATCCTTTAAAAACACACGGCGCGAGCGAGCCAGCGAGCACACACACACACACAGTCTGCTGGCCGCTGTCCCTCCCGTCGTGTTTGCACTAATCCATGGGAATTTCGAGGAGCAAACACAGCGCGAGTAGATATCTCGCATACAGTAAAAATCACACACGCGAGTCCCACGCTCCGCGCACCGCACGGCCACGCAGTTAGAAATGTCAAAAATGTTGCACAACAACAAAACGTTTTCGTTGCACGTCCAATTCCATCCTAGAGATTGTCCTAAATTTGGCTAATCCGGCCCATAACTACGTGCTACTGATTGCTTGCTAATTTGTATCTGGATTTTAGCGACTTTATTTTTTTTTGGGGGGTGGAGGCAGGTGGGGGTGGGGTGCTCCATGCAATAAACAAACACATTTTCACTTTCCGGTCAATTTGTAGTTGTGCAGATTTAGGAGCGGACTTGCGAGCGCGCGTGCGTTCAGGATGCTGTGCGCGTCCCTTCGCTGTGTTTAATGCCTGGGGTCATTTACCTCGTGACAAGGCTCTCCACGCGCGTGCGTGCGTCAGGGTGTGTGGCCGGGCGTGTGGGGAGCGGTGGTGCAGCGGTTAGCGCACTGCGCCACACACCCGGCTACCCGAGTTCGATCCCCGCTCACAGCCAACACCTGTGACGGTTATAATCGTTATAATTATCTGAATTGTTCCGGGGCCTCCCCTAGGTAGACTCGGCCTCAAATTAGTACCTGGTGCGGTGTGTAAAACATCACAACTGGGGAGATAAAGGCGGCCGTGCGTGGTGCTGGCCACCCAACACCTCGTGTGCCGTTCCGGCCTTCGTAGCTGCTCGCTAACAGCACTTGCCCCTTCAGTCTTCAGGCTACGCGGGGGATCTTTGTCTTTGTTGTGGCCGAGCGTGGTGCTGGCCACCCCCTCTGTGTGCCGTGCCGGCCTTCATTGGTGCCGCGACTCGCTTACAGCACTTGCACCCAGTCTGTCGAGGGCTACACGGGGGGATCTTTGTCTCGTGCGTGGTAAAGGATTCTCTACATTAGTTCACTCCGTCCAATATTTGGCTAATTGTGTAGACCCCAGAGGCGTTCTGTGGCCAGCTCCGTTTCGCGTACGGATGGTGGGGTGGTCTTGCCGACGTTCCATTCGTTCAATCGCGTCGAAACGTCTTCTTTGTCTTCGCTTCAAGAAGCTGGCACCAACGTCGTTTGGAACGGTTGGCGAAGTCGCGGCGCCACACGCGTGCAAATCGTTCGGAAATAACCATTCATAGCAAACAAAAACTCAAAATCCCTACCAAATCTGTTCAATCATTAATCGCCATCACGAATAACTCCACTCCGGGGTTTGGCAAGCCTCCTCATCCCGTCGGAATGTACCGTCGTGAACACGTGCGCGTGTGTGTGCGTGCGTGCGTGTAGCGGTTAGCGCGCTGCGCTACTAACCCGGCGATCCGAGTTCGATTCTCGCTCACGGCCTACACCGGTGACGATTGTCTGAACCCGGTCCTGGGCCTCCCCTAGGTCGACTCGGCCTCAAGTGAGTACCTGGTGCGGTGTGTAGTAAACATAGCCACTGGGGAGACAAAGGCGGTCGGGCGTGGTGCTGGCCACCCACCCCCTCGTGTGCCGTTCCGGCCTTCATAGGTGCTCGCTAACAGCATTTGCCCCAACAGTCTGTTTTGGCAATACGGGGGAATAACGTTATCTTCGTGGTTGGAATAAGCTGCCACATGTTGCAGTTATCGTCAACATCACAATCGTCGCTCCGTCTTCGTGATGCAGACTTCCCCCTGTAAACTTTTTCCAACTTGGGGTCGACGTCGGCATCCTTTGACGCGGTCGTTAATGAAGCAGCTTGCGGCTAGCTGGTTAATGGGCTTTAAATTAGCCAGGCGGAACTTGGTAAAAAAAACTCTTGAAAGTTTACCTGCGGGCGACTTCATTAAAACTAATTCTCGATAAATTAGAGAGATAATCGGACACGTGATGTAACGTGAGCCTTGCCGGAGGTTTGTGCGACGCGTCGATTAGTACCAATTAATTGCTGCGCGTTCGTATCTCATCGTCGCAACCAATAATCGTAACAACGACGATGTCATTGATGATGATAATGATGATGATGATTTATAGCTTTTTGTCAATCCACTATTGGATGAAAACTTTTCCCAAGCGGTGTCGATCACTGGCTGCAGCCTGACCATACTTCACCACGCTGTTTCAGTGCGGGTTGTCGAAGGATAGGAGCAGAGACGTCGGCAGTTTAGATACCTATACTGTGTACATTTGAGCGGTTCGAATGTCAAGTCGCCACTGATGTTAGCCGTGCAGGACGCCAAACCCTAGCGCCGCCGCGCCAGCAACCGCTTGTGTGTATGCATCTATACATTTAACTAAGCAATTAAACAAACATGTTTTCGATGGGTATATTTGCAAGTTCCGAGCGTATGCATCATATACTTTGCCAAGCTGTTCATTGCGGATAGTATCAACCCGGCCACTCGAGTTCGATTCGCGCTCACGGCAAAAAAACACCGGTGACGGATTATCTGAACCGATCCTGGGCCCTCCCTCTAGGTCGACTCGGCCTCAAATGAGTACTTGGTGCGGCCGCTCGTGGCGTTGGCCACCCGCCCCTTCGTGTACCGTCCGGGCCTTTGTAGGTGCTGCTCGCAAACCAAACGGCGCTTGCCCCAACAGTCTGTGAAGTCTGTACGGGGTATATTTGCATTTGTCATCGTTAATCTATAATTATATCAGCGTGCGATTTCGATTAATCTAACCGGCGGTGCGATCTCGGTTCACGTGACGGCCGTCTGATTTCGACTGATATCATCGGTTTTGCGAGTTACAATTATTGGGGGTGTCATTGCTGTTGACGGAGGGGGCCGATCTCGGGATACGCGGAAATTGGCTCGACTATTTCGTCGTCAAGAGTCGAACGAAATTTAGTTCATGATATCTGCGCTGCGTTCAAGCATCGCCAGATATCGAAACAATCTGGCGATGCTGAGCGCAGCAGCACGGCTGCGTTGCGGCGTGAATGGCGAACAAACTTGACGCCCGTGTCAATAGCACTCACTGGGACCTTCAAATAAAATAAAAACAACATCGTAGGTGATGTTATTGTTGAGAAATATGTTCAAACTCGACGAGCCATGTGCTACGAAGAAAGGCCAGTTACCCCGAAACTTCGCCCATTAGATGTTGTTGTTGTTTGTTTTAAGGTCACAATGTCATGGACTTAATCAAAGTCGGCACCGGGGCCGCATTCAATTTCCGCTGTAATTATAATCTACTCTTGCAATTCACACAATCGGTGCAATCAACCAATCAACAGGTCGCCCGAATTAGCACGAAACACTGCGTGCGATCGCGTTATCTTTAACAATGTCACGGCCCAAGGCAGAGGACGCATGGAGCGGTGGCGCTTCGGTTAGCGCGCCGAGACCGCGAGAGACAGCGGTGAGCGGTGCGAGCTCGGCACCAGGCCGGGGGTTGAACACCGCCCGAGTCGCCAGTGACGCTCTCAAGCCCCTCCCCCCCCCCCACTGCTTGAGCCTAACGCCGCACTGGACAGAGTGGCGAAGTATGGCCAACTCGCGCCTGGCAAAGCGTGGTGGCGTGGTGTGGTAGGGTGGTGTGGTGTGGTAGGGTGG